CTTGCCAAGGGTATCACACCAGAATCACTCGAGTGGGAAGAGCGTGCAAAGAATTGGTTTTTCGCTCATGGGGGAACACTGGACCAGGAGATAGGGAAGTGCGTTTATGGCGCAAGACTGCAAGAAGCAGCAGAAAGATTGTTTTATGCTCAGAGAGCTACTGCTAGTGGTGCGTTGAGGCCCAACAGAGAGAAGGATGAACTGACATACGCCATCGGGACTATTAAACACGGTAGCCAAACTAGAGGCAAAGGAAGTGTCTCGTGGGAGCATGGATTCCCTCAGGACAGACCTTCCTACAGAAGCCGCCAGAGAAAGAAGGAAGAAGAGGCATAGCGGCTCCAGAGGTTGGAGGAAGCGGTGCGTGAAGCACAGGAGCGGGAAAAAAACCTTGAAGCGAGAATGCAGGAGGAAATCAGAAGGCAAGTGCAAATAGCAGTGAGTGCAAGCAAGCAGGCATCAGAGCCAGAAATCAACATTAGCCCCCCTGCTTAGTTGAAAAGAAGCTGCGTTTCCACGGAGATACCAAATCAAGGGGACACAGGACTGCGCTTCCCTGTGGATGACGTCACTGAACCTTGTACATCGTGTGAGCTACACATTCCGAAGGGGAATTCCACAATCAAGGTGGCTATCGGTCTTGTTAATCCTATCGACCAAACCAAGACACCAAGAATTCATGGGAATATAATCCAAGAAGGATATGCTACCATCTCGGTAGATAAAGCTGAAAAAGGTTTTAGTGATTTGCCTCTTGACATTCCTAGAGGTGATGGCGAGAAGACTCTAGGAGAAGCAGAGAAGACATTCATTCTATGGCGCAAGCGCTACATCATCATTCCCGGGATGTCGCCTCCACCACCTCCTGAACTACCTCATCATAGGCGCGGATGAAAACACTACATCATTAATTTATATTGGCTTAAATAATTAACAATCTGCTCATAATAATATGTCATTCCTTTTTTTGTAGCAGATCCTCTCCCAACCTAAGTCCAATTGTTCAATCGTTAGATCATCATAGTGTTATGTACGATGACAATGTGTTGGAAGGCAAGGCTGCATCCACACCATCTCCAAGGAGGTCTCCAACGCCGCAGTCGCCACCTCCAAGGAGGTCTCCAACGCCGCTGCCACCACCTCCAAGGAGGTCTCCAACGCCTCCCCCGTCCCCGCCTACCAAGAAGCCAAGTACTAGCTAGAGGTCAGCCCCGCAAACGAAGAACCAGCCCCCACCGGCAAAGAAAGCCACCGTGAAACCAAGGGCTATTCCCAAAATAATATCTGAAGAGAAGGAAGAAGTAACTGATGCATATAAAAAAGATATGTCCAGATTCTATGACAAACTTAAAAAGGATCAAGAAGCAAGGAGAAACCCGGAGAAACCGTACTTCTTCGTAGCTCCAGATATTATAAGAAAAAATGTGGCTTCTTACCAGCAACAACAGCGGGAATCTTGTAAGCCGTCCAAAGCAACGTTAACGGACTATGACCGCACTTCACCAAGTCAATTGAGGCGGCACAGAAAAAGAAACGGGCAGGGAAAGGAGTTGCACAACTCGGACAACAATCGCACCAATCAGTCCCCCCGCTAGTTGTTAGTAATGAATATGGTTCAAATTTAGGATTAATACATCAGACAAACATACCTCCGGATGTCGATTTGGATCACCTTGGTGAATTTATTGAAGAGACTGGTCTCGACCTTTACCAGATGTTTGGTGATGGAAACATTGAGAGTGCGGCGGAGGTTGATATTTGGAAGAAAAAAATTGTACTAGGCCAGAGTCTATACAACCCTCAAGCCGTTGATCTGGGGACGTAAATGTACCTGCTAAACAAGTGGTACATGCAGGCGTCTACCGATGGAGACTTCTGCGTTGGTGTTAGAATTAGAGACGAACATTGGTTCCATGGCGATGATGTTATGTATGTTGACTTTGTAGAATTTCATCAACTATGCCACCTGACCTCTCTGGACAAAGTTATTATTAACTGCTATTGACTGTAAGTAATAATTCTTTCGATCTATTATTAAACTCATCATATGTGTGTATATGCATATAAATTATCCTAACAAGTACTATATATATGCAGATTTACAATGACAGAGCGCAGAAAGAAAGGCTGCAATGAAATTGATTTTGTTGATCCACATATAGTATTCAAAGACCTAGTTACTCCAAAGCTTAATTAGAAGTCTGAGTCAGAGAGTAAACTCATGAACTTCTTAGTGAACCAACGCCACAAGAAGGATATACTCTTTCCCTACAACTTCAAGTGAGTGTTAATAATGTCGATCATCCTTAATGGCTCATATGTTGATTCTAGTTAATTAATGAGTGTTATACGTTATATCCTATAAACATATGCATCAATCACTGGATATTGATGGACATCGATCTGGTGAAAAGTCACTTGATAATCTATGACTCGATGAGAAAACCACAACAAGACTACCAAGATATGATAGATATTATCCAGAGGTAATTTCGGTATCTCTAGCAACTATATATACACACAAACATGATGATTAACTATATCTAATGACGTGGCAAATTTTTATTGGGCAGTGTTTGGAAAACCTTTATTGAGAAGTAACACATGGGAAAATGCAAAGTGCCACTAAATGTAATCCCTTTGAAAGTAAGTCCCCTAAATCGCATCATCTTTATTAATTAAACATATAGCTTTCACCGGATCACCAGAATGGATGGCAAATCTTTTTCTCGTAAAGTGGTGTCTGAGGCAGGAACATGGGAACAACTACTGTGGTTACTATGTTTACAAGTTTATCAAGGAGGTCTCCCAAAGAACTTCTAAAGAGAGACTCAAAGTACGTTAAAAATACACTATATATTCATTTAATTATTATTTTTAATTGTTACTATGTCTTTATATATATATATGTATGTATGTATATATATTAATTTATTTTCCTTTAATTCAAACCTGTAGGCTCGATGGTTGGAGGAAAATGTCATACGGCAAGACCAGTTCAAAGCAATTCAAGAGTCTATAGCCGGATTTTTTAATGACCAGGTCATCGATTCAAAGGGCGAGTTCTACTTCGACCCAACACTACCATGGAAGCCAAGCTAGAGGATGAGAGGAAACTTGTTATATCATAATAACTGTAATGCAATCTTTTGTAATATATGCACATGAAATAATATAATGTAAAATACACATATGCATGCATGCATGTAAATATAAATATATAGTTCTATGCTTGAATTGTGTCATTTAATACATTCATTGTGCTTGAACCGAAATATACTATACGCACGTATAAATGTATTATTAGCAGCGTACAATACGACTTCGAAAACCTATTTTGAAAAAAAAAAAAAAAAAAAAAAAAAAAAAAGAAAAAAAATAACCTTTAGTCCCGGTTGGTATTAACAACCGGGACTAAAGGGTGCCGGCCTTGTGGCATGTCAGGAGGCACCTTTAGTCCCGGTTAGTGTTATCCACCGGGACTAAAGGTTCCCCTTTAGTCCCGGTTTCTGACCCAATGCTTGCTTCCAGATGGAGAAGCAGAACTAGAAGGGGTTCTTCACCGAAAGTAAATGCCGTCTCTGTACTAGTGTTCGCTTGAGACTTGATGAGATGATGCAAAACAGCTTATGGATCGACGGGTCGTATATATCTCTATCCTGTGTCACTTTAGAGAGGACACAAATCCAATGCGTGCTACGGGTGAAAGCTTAATAATTATTTTATTTTATTTCCTTCTGAAATATTTAAACTTCGTTATATATTTTTCATGGACTTAATAGATCACTCGCTGCAAGTTTCGTTCTGATCTTACAAACTTCTTTTTCTGATTGGCCATGAATTCACGAAATCATAAAGCAAGAGCTTCTAAATTTCTGGTTATTTAATATCTCGATCTGTATAAACATGAATCTCATTAGATGACAGCCCATCCATTAGAGAGACCTCAAATCCAGTCGCAATCGTCCGCTTCACTTCTGCTACGACCGAGAGCGAACATTAGAAATAAAGATATTTATATGGTTAGAGCTATTTAGAGGTAGAAACAAATTCTAAGATAAAGATAGAGTCCTAGAGATAGAATAGAATTAGGCCTAGCATATAACTAATATAATATATGAATTATTAGAGAGAGGCTAGCTAATTCATGCGGCGTCCTAGAGAAATTTGTAGATTGATCCCTCCTGGGCGGCACGAGCAGTACGACGCTAGTCTATGGCTCTTGATATCATGTGTGGAAATAAAATATTGGGTACGAAGAACCGTAATTAATATCTATTATTAATTGCATTGACCCTCATAGGGTATTTATAGGTACATATACGAGAGATTTGGAGTACAAAAATACAAGTTGTAGTAGGTTTAATCCTATATACTATCTTTATTTTTATTATCTCTAGAGTTTGTTGACCTCCAAATATTTCTAATTATACATATCTCTGTTAAATAATCTGAGCTGATCTTTGTGCTATATGGGCTGTGCTGGTCAATTGGTTTATGGGCTTGTTGGTCAAAATCTCATACAGCCTATGGAAATGGGCTTGGCCCTTGAAAATGTGAGTGGATTGTGAATGGATTATATATAAATAATATAGGCCAAAATAATATATACATCGTTGTGCTTAATAGTGGGCTCGATTCATAGTAATTAGGTGTACAATTACATTTGGCCCACTAATAGCTTACTCACTATATGGGTGTAACTAGGTCTCAAGGTATTTAGTGAGAAAAATCAATCGTTATAAATTTATGACACAATAAAGATCATCATAAAAAATTATAACAAAAAAAAAACATATTTACGTCATAAAGTATATATGGTATGTCTGATACCTGCTATGTCGTTCAGCCTCCCCTGCATTTTTTTTCCTAGATCTGTCTCTAAACTAATCAGATGCAATACAACGCAACAACTTATTCGCTACAAGGAATAAATGAATGTACTTGAATTTCTAGTCCGCTCGGTGACCATCAGAAGATCAGTTCATCATCATCACAGCTTAAACAGCGGCGGCCGCCGAGCCCAATCCAACAAACCCGCGGCTTGGAGACATCACCGCCATGTTCAGCTGCTGGCCGAACCACTCTGTCGCCGTGCAAACGCCGGGCGCGGCCACTTCTTTGGGCGTCAAGAAGAAACGATCCTTGCCGTTGTCCCTAGCTCCCTCAACGACGCCATTATTAACCGCCGGCAGAAATGTTCCCACGATCCTCGCCGCAGGGCTCACGACGTCCGTCTCCCACGCGGCGCTCTGTGCGTTTGTGTTCCTGGCATCCCTGACCTTGAGCTCAAGCACCTGCGTGACATCGAGGCGGTGGATATCGCTCCACCCGCGGAGGCCGTGGAGCCGGTGGATCTTGTCCAGCTGGCGGCGCGCCAGCACGCACGTGTTGGTCTTGATCTCGTCGACGGCCGCAGCGAGGAGCCGTGCTCGCAGCTCGTCGTCGCCGTCCAGAGCACCCGCGGCCTCGATCCGGAAGTATCCGTCCATCTCCGGCACGCCGATGGCCCTCCGGATGCCTCTGGAGTAGTCGGCGTCTTCGTGCCGAAACAAGGCCCGCACCTCACGGACGAGCCCCTGCTCCATCATGCAGTCCACGCGGTCTGCTATGTAGCGGTCCAGCACGACCAGGTCGCTGTCCACCCAGAGGAAGCAGCACTCGTAGCGCCTGCGAAAGCCACCAGCTGCAGCAGGTTCCCCGCCGCCGTCCAGCAGCGCCTCGAGGTACCTGTTGGAGCCCCCAGCGATGATCGGGACGCGGCGCCTCTCGAGGATGGACTCGACGGCGCGCGTGGCGTCCCTGCAGAAGTCGGCGGTGGTGTAGTCGGCGTCGGGGCTCACCCCACCGATAAGGTGGTGTGGCACGCCCCGGCGCTCCGCGGCGGTGGCCTTGTTGGTGACCACGTCGAGGCCGTCGTGCACCTGGATCTTGTCGGAGTTGATCACCTCTCCGCCGAAGCGCAGTGCGAGATCCACGGCCAGCTTGGACTTGCCGGTGGCCGTGGCGCCCATGACCACCACCACCTTGGCCTTGCTGCTGCCTCCGCTCGCCGTGGCACCGTCGTTAACACCCGCCATCATACGTGTGTACGTGTACGACTACTGTCTTTCACAGTGTTAACACACAAGCTTGTAGTTGTAGTGTAGGACTGTAGGCGAATGAATACCGTGCATGGGCCTCCGTTTTTATAGTGTGCTTGCATTGCATTGGTTCCAAGTGCACGAAGTGAGGTCGTCACTACTGTCGTCACTGGTGTTTCTTCATCAGTTCATATATGTCGTCTCTTCTTGGACAGTTCGCCAGTTGGCGACAGCGAAACCATACCACACGTCTTGTGCCAGACCTGACTTGGGGGTTCAATTGAATTACTTTTCAAGCCTTTTGGCCGGTGCAGCGTTTAATTGTCCTGTGATATATCCTGTCTCCAGACTTGCAGACGACGGTCGAATTTTGGATGGCACTGCTCGTTGCATTGCATGGAAGGAAACCTTTTTGCTGTCACCGAGTGAACACACGCACCCACTCGGAGAGAGGATGCAAATTTGTTGCAGTGTTCGCACGCATGTTTGTCAAACTCCGGTTTTTGTGGCTGTACTAGCTACTACAATTAATAATGGCTTACTGGTATGTCTTCCGGGCCCACCTAATAGGACACTGCATGCAATTTGAATAACGGTTTCTTTCTTTCAGAAACCAGAATGCAGGGTCGTCGAAAAAAAAGAAGCATGCTGTGGGTTGGCTACTGATGCAGTTATATGGATAATAATCGACTTCATTTCCATTCTATCACCAGCTTGTAGTATTTTCCTATGCATATATGGCGCCAGTATCAGTGTGACTCCATAATATTAGTGTTTGACAGAGACCGATGTATGGTTGTTATTTGTCTGTCCTCTCTGCACACACTGGCCACACAGTCGATCGAGTTTGGAAGGCGCTGCTCGTTTCAGGGGAACTTGCTTGGTTCACACTTGTCACCGAGTGAACACTGTGAATTCGTTGCAGTCTGTGGATCCAGAACGACTCTGGAACGCATCTTCAAATTCAGTTTTCATATATATCCGTGAATATAAGACGGCAAATTATCTAACGCGTTAATTTTGACAAGTCTACTCTGTTTCGAAAATCGCGACAAGTCTACCTTTTTGCCGTCCTTCTCGTGGGTCATGGCCATGGCCACGTTGTTGTAGTATTTTTTTTTCCGAAAACGTGCATAGCACGTGTTTCATTAAGAAAACGTTAGTAGTTTTACACGTTCAACATCACAACACGGTGAGGTGCCATGAGCGATGGGTTGAACATGAACACAAGGCACCGCTAGGCAGTGGAGCGCAAGCTGTTGTAACTAACTAAGAAACTAAACGTGCGACCGAAGAGCTTGCAACATTGAGCGAACCCTTACTCAAGACGTCTGCGTCGCCGCCCACCTCCCGCGAGCACCAGCCATGGGGAAGAGCTCCCGCATTGCCGCTGCGCTTGGACGATGACAACAACTCTTGGAACGTCTCGTGGAACCAAGTGACGATGGTCGCGTCAGGCGTCACCGGCGCTGACCGTGGGGCGCTCGCCGAAGGCTGCCATTTGTTGAGCATAACTTGCTTGGCCTGTTTTTCTGGATTCGGGTCGTGGTAGACGGACTTGGCAGCAAGTCTATCACTGCGGCGTGGCACCAGGTTCTGACCCGCACACGCGAGACACGAAGGCGCGGCGGCGACTGGATCAGCGGCTTCTTGAGCGGTAGCTTTAGACCGGCAATGAAGTCCTCGACAGAGGTGGGTTGGACTAAAGGCGAGGCTGCAACAAAAGTATGAGGGGGCCCGTCCTGTGTACCAGCGTTGACGGGCCATCGGCGGCGGACTGAGCGGGCGGCCCTTCATGCTCGTCGTTGGAGGCCCTGGCGGAGAGCTGCTGATGCTGTGCTTGCTCGTCAGCCACCAACCCCGAAGCCCAGGACGCCCGTGGAGGGCTACTTTGCAGCGCCATGTCCGGCTCCAAGACCGGAAGCGGGTGCTCCGAGGCCGTGAACTTTGGCTGGGCTCGAACAGTGGCATCCAAGTAAGAGTCACAAAGCATCGGATCCATCCATGAGAGTGGTGGTTAAGGCCGTGACATAATTTGAATTTTAAACTCTTGGGAGGCCTTGGGCGACTGGTAGGGGGAAGATGACACCGGACGTGACGAGGGCCGGTGACATTGCGCTCGCTTTAGCAGTAGGCACTGCTTGCGTGGCCTAGATGACGAAGTACCGATACTCGGTTGAGCCGGGCAGAGAATTCATCCGACAATGACAGGTGGCGCTTGCTGGAAAGTTGGGTTCCACCCAGGCTCAAGCTGCGGCTCCGACGTGCCATCGACGTCCTGGCCGTCGCCGCCGCTGTCGTTATCTTCGTCATGACGACTAAGACGGGGTCGGCGCGGGTGCGAAGCAGTGCGACCATGGTTGCCTTTAGCAGCATGATGCCGAAGACCGCGCCTTGGAGGCTCCCGCACCTGATCTGAGGAAAGCCGCCGGGGCAGATGACCGTGCTTGTAGTTCCTCGCTCGGTGCTCTGTGCTGAGGCAGAAAAGGCAGCAGGATGGGAAGGTGCAACGGGCGGTGTTGGTATATTTTAACGCACACAGAATAATCCGCAAGCGCATGGATACCGATGTAGCACTTCATCGGAAAGTATTCCAGAATATCGAACTCAAGAAAACGTGTGTGAGATTAACTAAGTCTAACTTAACCCAGAATAACTACAAAACTTAAGATAACAAGAGTATAAAAGAGATCGCTAAGGTCTTATAGTTCTAACTTCAGTAAGCTATGTCTTATATTGTTCAATTCTATGATATTACTAAGGAAAACACAGGAAAAATATATTTCCTATAGTAAAAAGGTTCTGCTCGGCCTACAAATGGGAAGTGGACTACAAAGGATTCAACGAGGCTATAAGAGTCACTCTCGTGAGCTACCACCGATCCGGAAAGTAGGGTACATCTATGAGTAACCGAGTCTAAGCACCATACTTACACTACGAATACTACTTTAACCCAGGAGCGACTATGATTAAAGTACTCAAAAAGTGTCACAAACCTCAAGAACAATATGAACAATGATACTTACTTGAATTAGAAGTTGATTATCAGAGAAATCTCAGAAGCAAGCTCAAGAAGAATCTGATTTCGCCAGTGTACAAGCCGTTGAAAGCTCTAGTTTGGTTTTGGTGAATTGATGAGACCCTAAGTGTTAACCCTTTTACTCTAAGTGACCATGAGATAGGGTAGCACATTCCAAGTGGTGGAGTAAGTGATGATGATCATGTTGGTGGTGATGGCCATGGTGATCAAAGTGCTTGGGCTTGGAAAAGAAGAAAGAGAAAAACAAAAGCTCAAGGCAAAGGTAAAATTTGAGAGGAGTTTTTGTATTTTGGTGATCGACACACTTAGTGAGTTTGATCACATTTAAGATAGATAGCCGTACTATTAAGAGTGGTGAAACTCGTATCAAAATACGGTTATTAAAGTGCCACTAGATGTTCTAACTCATTTGCATTTAGATTCTAGTGAGTGCTAACACCCTTTAAAATGTTTGTGAAATTCATTTTTCAAAATTATATTGTGCTTGCACAGGAGGATGGTGTCAATCTGTTATCTGTCATAAAAGGAGCGAACATGTATCGCCGTGGAAGGCAAAGGGATTTTGTAACCGATTATCTCCCTCCTACTTTAAGTGAATTCAAGCAAACATTTGATGTGGATCACAAGTATGTGTCAAAATTCTGAAAGTTGCATTCTACTTTCATCTCTCTCTCTCTCTCTCTCTCTCTCTCTCTCTCTGGCAAAGTAAGCGAAAAAATGAATCTTCTGCAGACTGTTTCACCTTGCACTGAGCCCAGTCATGATGTCTACCCTGAAGAATGGAAAAATTGTTCGCGGGCTTGCTGGTGTTCCTGATAAAGGTCCTGTCTTGTTTGTGGGCTATCATGCGCTCATGGGTATTGAGTTGAGTCCTCTGTATGAAGAGTTCCTGAGGGAGAAGAAGACAATTGTTCGTGGTATGGCTCATCCATTTTTGTTTGGAAAAAAATTTGAGTCATCGCGCCAGGAGATATCTCGGATCGATACTGTTTCTATGTATGGTGGATTACCGGTCACCCCTATCAATATGTACAGGTTATTCGAGAGGAATGAATTTGTTCTGCTTTATCCTGGCAGTGTTCGGGAAGCTCTGCATAGGAAGGTTTGCTTAATTTGGCCATTTAACCCTCTAGTAGCCTTGACTGAATCATTGTAGCGTTATTATCGTAAAGATTTCCAATTGCGATGTGTTAAAGGCTAACTTAAAATGAGCTAGTTCGTCACACTAAGGAGAAGAATAAATGCTACTTGATCCCCAAAGTTTTTACCACCTTTTGCTTCTTCATACTGTAACTATCTACTGAATTTTGCAGGGTGAAAAATACAAGCTGTTTTGGCCAGACCAACCAGAATTTGTAAGAATGGCTGCGCGCTTTGGTGTTACTATCATACCCTTTGGGTGTGTAGGAGAAGACGACGTTCTAGAGGTAGTTATTTGTTAACCCATTTGTTGAAGTATAAGTGAATTCTTTGTCACCATTAGCTAGAAACGAAAGCATGGCTTTCCTAGTACTTTTGCAGGACCTTGTTTTGCTTCAGTATTCAATTGTGTTAAAGAAAATGCACGACGGCTACAGGCTTTATGTCACGTTAGAACACGTGTAACTAATAAGTTTCTGTGCCGCATGGTGATTGAACTAGTCACTTACTCTGTACACTCGTTCTGCAGTTGGTTCTGGATTACAACGATCAGAAGAACATTCCCGGACTTCGGGAGTGGATAGAGTCAATCAACAAAGAAGCAGAGAGAGTGAGGTAACATTTCAAGATATTTTCTCCTCAACAAAGACAGATAAATGATAGTAGATCTTAAACTCTTGTTCATTCATGGCATATTGGTATGCATTATTCATTTCAGGGACAGTGTAAAAGGGGAGGATGGAAATCAAGACATGTACTTGCCAGCTCTTCTCCCAAAAGTACCTGGTAGATTGTACTACCTATTCGGGCAACCGATTGAAATGAAAGGGATGAACAACCTTTTCAGAGATAGAAAGAGGGCAAACGAGGTGTATTTACGTATCAAATCAGAAGTGGAGGAGATAATGTCATATCTCAAGAGGAAGAGGGATGAAGACCCTTACAGGAGTATAGGGCAGCGTGCGCTGTACCAGGCAACATGGGGCGCCTCTGCTCAAGTCCCAACTTTTGAGCCATGAAGATTTGGTGCAGAAATGTTAGTGTGATTGGATATTTAGAAGTTCACACAAACGATGACAGGAGAAAAGCGACTACCTTTTTTTTGTGAGTAGGGATGGGCATCTGCGAGCAGACTGCAATTCTTTGACAAGATGTAATGCATTATGAGGAAATCTCCCTCATGCTGTACAGAAATAGATACATATCGTATACAGAAAACATTGTATATTTTTAGGAGAATATAAAATGATAGTTTTAAATAAAAACACACTAAGCACAATATCTTACAGTAGATAAAAAGAATTGTAGCAATTAATAAGAAAAGAAATGACAGATAAAATTTGGATTTGTGATATCACGTGACGTGGGCCCTGTTTGAAAAACGCTTCTCTTAGAAGCTACTCCCTCCGTCCCGTATTATCTGTCGCTGGGATCCATGTGCGAAGACCAAGGCAAACCTACAAAAACAGTACAGATGACAGTGACCTCTGTTCTTTGTCTCTCTGTTTCAGCAGAAAAACAATAAACAACGCGAGCTCCTGGACGAACGAGTGGATGAAAACAGTGGGAGGTGGGATGCCTGACCGGGTGACAGGAAGGTTGCAGGCTAGACGTAGGTGTGAGGCCCATCTACAGTCTCCTAGACGACAGTTAATTCGGGACATACTACTGTCGCTAGAACGACAGATAATACGGGACGAAGGGAGTAAACAAATAAAGCAAAAGAGTGGTTAAAATAAGCTAGCCTGATCCAATTTTTGTGTTTTACTATAATGAGTGCTGTGGGGAGAAATATGGCAAACAAAACCTATGAAAATATGTTGTTTGGCTTTTAATCCACCATAACTTAGGATAAAGTTTCAACTAAATGCGCATGAAAGTGACATGCAAAGGGACAAAAACTATGGATATTGATCATCGTAGCGTAGCTAGATAGAGAATACAAAATATCTAATATAAATATTGCGTTAGAATTTAGAAATGAACAAAGATATATCGCAAACATAAATAAATTTGATTGGCTATATGTACTATTGATATGTGTAAATACTGGATGGCATTGAGTCAAACAAAAAACATACAAGATAGATATCAAGGAACTGAGAAGGATCGGGAGGTGACGGGGTTCAGAACTTTTCGCTATTCATTCATGCCGCTTCTTCTTGTTCTCATCCCTACATCCAGAATTCCTCTAAAACCCACCAATTGATCTTTCAGATGTACTAAACACAAACTTCTCATACCATGTCTATTAGGATTCTAACCCATGCCGGAGCATGTGTGTTTTTTTTAGGGAAATGGCGGAGCATGTGTTGATGAACTAGAGTTAGCGAGACGGTAGTCCGACCACATCACGTGGTTGATTTCCACATGACCAGGTCACACAAATTTCAAGTATGTGTAAGTCTACAACACTCTAAACTCACACCATTTGTGCCTCACTCCGTTTCAGCTATTTCCGTTGCACACGCACCTTGTGAACCTTGACACTTACCTAACGCATGACTCCATTCTTCCCCGGGCCTCCCCAAAAACAATATGCCAAGAACTCCCGAAAAAGCTTTCTAGCTCACACCAATGGCGACTCTGTCTCCTCGTCTACACACCAAGGCCGCTGCCCCTCTCTGTCGACCACGGCAACGTTGGCATGGTTCCCTTGAGAGGACCACCAGCAACTACCCGGTGAAGAAGCATGCTGGGAGATTGCAGGCGAGCTACAGGGGCCTTGAGGCACTGTATGACGATGGGTACCAGACGGTGAAGAACCTAGATTACTACTACGAATCACTTGGCGAGCTGGTGGAGCATGACAGTGGGTCGGTGCGCTGGTTTTGCCCCGTCGACGCCGGCTCACCGATCGAGGATGCTCCTCTGATGCTATATTTGCCCGGTAAATTAAATATGCCTTCAATTAATGTTGTGCTGTCAATGGTTTAGAATGAATCTATGTATAGTGCGTAATGCATCAAACGTGTTGGCGTGAGAGCCTTTCAGGCGTAGATGGAATGGGGATGGGACTCTTCATGCATCACAAGGCACTTGGAAGGTCGTCATCAGAAATAGAGAGAACTTTAGTTTGTTTCAATTGCGAATAATTTCACTTGGTTATGATTTTGACCACGGAATAATGTTGGATCCGTACTATTCCCATGTTCAGGATTTTTGAACTAAGATGCATGCACGTTCCTCTTCATGATCGCACGCCATTTGAAGGTACACATATGTTTGTGAATTAATTTGATTAAGGATTGTGGATCTACTAAGCCTGTTTTGTTCCATCAGCATAATATAGAGGATTCAGATGAAGTAACTTGCCAATTTCGGAGTTCTCAAGAATGTATGTTTTAGCTGCTTTTATTTTTCAGACCTTGTTATAATGGTAGAAGATGTTGTAAGAAAAGAGCACGCCACTTCTCCCAATAAGCCGATCTATCTATTGGGGAATTCTTTTGGCGGATGTTTGGCACTTGCAGTAGCTGCTCGTAATCCACATATTAATTTGATATTGGTACTAGTGAATCCAGGTATATTCTGAAATAAATGTTTTCAACTGTATGAATTTTCTTAATTTATAATTGAAATATTTTTACCTACAAGTTTCCCTTCCTTTGTCACTGCAAAAGCAACATCATATGAGAAGTCAGGCATACAACAGCTTCTATCGTTTTTCAGCCTGTTCTCAGATCAAGCATGTATGGCTGTTACAGCTCTATTGAACTACAACATCGGTAAGAACCTAGACCTTGCTGTACAAAATTTGTAGAAGAGTAGAAATAAGTTAAAAGAACAAATTACGCAATGGTACTAGGTCTAGTTGACAGTAAGTTAGTTGTAAATTGTAATTAGGGGACTTGCCTGTGATTTATTGTATTTTCTACAAATCTATCATATTAGATATAGTTCGGATTTCAAAATTCAGCTTTTGTAATAAATTACTGTCATAGGTGAACTGAACTAATCTTGATTGTGAATTGTGATTAATAGTACACGAACATACAATTGTTTTGGTGTCATATTCTTTATATGTTTGTCTTATAAGTTGGTACATTTACATGTCATAGTTATTTTTTTAACATTTTGTATTTGGTTCCTCTGTTGTTCCTCACCATGAAACCAGACAATGAAGTGGACATGGCTGTGGGTAGCATGTTAAATGGAAAGCATCCATTAGCAGCACTGAACAGATTGACAAATAACATGACATCATTCCTGAAGCATTCGGTACATACCATTTCTTCACATCTTAATGGAGTCCATTTCATTCAGTAGAAATAATTCTAGAGATGAACCGAAATGTCTTGCACTTGACATGTAAAAACAAGGTGCGATAAAAATATTATGCTTCCATTGTAGAACATACTGGACAAAATACCAGAGGATACACTTAAATGGAAAATGAAGCAGATCAAACGGGCTGCTTCTTATGCCAATTATCGTCTACAATCGGTTCAAGCTGAAGTGCTACTGCTAGTCAGGTTTATTTTATGCATCAAACTAGTATTGTTTATCTGCCTTCAATTTCACCAAAGTTTTTCACTTGAGGGTGCATTATTGGACAATAATTGTTAGTTTGGTATGCTTTCTATCAGCTGTGCTGACAGGTTACTTCCAAGCAAAGACGAAGGTGACAGGCTGCAGAAGTTGTTACCAAAGTGTAAAATTTACTTCTTTGAGAAGCACGGGCACAGCTTACTATTGGTGAGATTTACATTTATACCAGACAATAAACAAGATCACAACAATTTTCTTCCACAAAAGTAAGAGAAACTGATCTTCAATTAATGGAGTCGGCTGATACAATTCATATAAAACACATTTCAGGAGTACGGTGTTCATGTTGCATCTATCATCAAGTGCACTGATCTCTACCGCCATTCGAGGAGGTACCACCGGGTTTTCGACTACATCCCTCCATCTGCAACTGAACTAAAGGAAGTAGACAAAGCTACGTGGTAAGCAGAGACATTGGAAATGTAATTGGAGATTCCAAATGAATGCCTGCCCTGCCACGATAAGTGCCTGATGACAAAAACTACAGTGATCTCAGATTTAGGACCTGCCCAGCGATGTACTCCACTTTGGAGGACGGCACAGTGGTGAGGGGCCTCGCTGGAGTACCCCAGGACGGCCCAGTGCTGCTGGTCGGCAACCACATGCTTCTGGGCATCGAGCTCATCTCGCTTGCGGCGGAGTTCCTGCGGCTGAAGCGGGTCGTCGTGCGCGGCATCGCGCACCCGCTCCTGTTCCCCAACAAGAAGAGGGCGTGGTCTGAGGGCCACGACTTCTTCGACTTCCTCAACCTGTGGGGCGGCGTGCCCATGATGTACAAGTCCATCTACGACCTGCTGGGCGCCGGCGAGTTCGTGCTCCTCTACCCCGGTGGCCACAGGGAGGCGCTCCATTGCAAGGTTCATACATACAGTTGGGTCTGCAACTGCAACCATCCAAGCTTAATCTTGTGAGTATATGACGCCCATGAGATTGATTTGCAGGGCGAAGAGCACAGGTTGTTCTGGCCAACCCAGACCGAATTTGTCAGGCTGGCAGCACAGTTCAATGCAACAATTGTGCCTTTTGGAGTCGTCGGGGAGGATGATCTGCTAGAGGTAAGATAAGAACTGGGATTTTCAAAAAAAAAAAAAGAATAATCACAGGTTCCGACCTGCATTTGCATTCTGTAACTAAAATGTTCTGCAGCTGCTCTGTACTTTCGAAGATATCAGGAATGCACCCTTTGGCAAGGAAATGATCCAAGCATATAGCAATCATCTGAAGCTAAGGTACACACACAGCCTTGAGTTGTGAGGACCTGAAAAGTGACAACTCAGTCGTGAATCTTTTCTGAAAATGCTGCTCTTGCAGGGACGTGGACCATGAGGTGTTCTTCCCAGGTCTGTATCTGAAAATGCCGGGCCGGTTTTACTACCAATTCGGGAAGCCGATTCCGACGAGGGGGAGGCAGGACGTCCTGACTGATAAGCAGGCCGCGCATGATCTCTACATGCATGTTAAGTCGGAGGTGGAGCGAATCATCTCCTACTTGCTGGAGAAGAGGGTGGAAGACAAGTACAGGAGCCTCATCCCAAGAATGTTGTACCAAGCTGCTCGGGGACCCACCTGTCAAGTCCCGGCGTTTGATCCCTGAATGTGTGGTTACATCAATTCTTTTACATTTCTTATTACTGCGACACGTTTATTTTGAATGTGTTTTAATTACCAATGACTGAAGACGTGATATGCTCCACCTCATGCACATCGACGTGCAAGATTTTTTTTTAAGAAAGGAAGCTCTTATTAATTTTCAAACAATTTGCATACAGAATCTTGAAAAGCGCTTCTGGCATCTGCCTAAACAAAATACACAACCAACAAAAAAAAGGAAGATCAATACAGTGGCTATTAAACCGTAAACTAAATCCACTGAATATTTCATTTCGGAGAGCTTTGGTGAGGGATAAACTCGATGAATATGAGAAGATTTAGTAGCCAAGATCACTCATCAATTAGGAGCTTATATAGCAATGTCAATTTACTGTCCATTCTATGTATATTCGCATAATAAATCAGAATACACCCTTCTCTAATAAATTGATTTGGAAGTTAAAATTCCTATAAAAATCAAGATTTTCCTTTGGTATCTCCAGTGGAGGTAATTTTAACAAAGGACAACCTAATTAAGAGGAATTAGAAAGGTAGTGAAGTGTTGTTTATGTAATTGTAACAAAATCATTAAACATCTTTTCTTTAGTCGTCATCATGCCAAGACAACCTGGAGGAGTGTCTATATAGCTACTGGGTTAACCCATCCTAGATTTATATCCCACATGTTTGGGAGTTAGCTATCTGAAGGACCGAAATGGCGACCAGAGGGGGGGGGTGTTTGAATGGGAGCCGATTTAAATTCTTCGCCGAGAAGAACTTGGCCTATGTCCCGATTATAACCCAACACACCTCTCTTTTAATTGCCAAGGTCACACACACTAAATGGTGATATGTCAACCCTAGGAACAATTAGGAATTTCTCAAGGTAGTGCAGAAACAAGACGGCAAATCACGAATTAATTAATCACTAATTAACCGGCTAACAAAAAGCTCTGATTAGCATGTGAGAATAAACTAAGCTCCAAAACCATAAACTGCAAGCTATTGAAACCAAACTTCAACTACATGCAAACCATAACCCATGTGGCTCCAGTTCACACGGAGCCTTAGTTCCATTGCTGCATCGAAGGAGATATGATCACATTGTTATAGAATGTGCGACTGAGGGACAACTTACTGAGAGGATTGATGCAGCAGAGCTTTTAAAAAAGCCAGTGACCAAGACATCCAAAATGGCGATTAGTTGGTTAGGTTCTTGTCATGATCGAGTTTGAACCTCCTAGGCCAAGTTGAAAAAAAATGTATTTGGGATTTTAACTAGGGTTTAGCCTAAGGGCTGAGGATTTGTCAAACCTAATCTTGGATCATTACATCAAGTGTTAATATACTTTACATAAAAAGTTAAACAAATGTTTTTTCAAAAAGCTATCCAAATATTAAGCAAAAAAATCTGCCTCACTGGAACTCTCTGGTGGCCCTGAGAGGCAGGCGCCGGAGAATAACCCTATTGCGTGTTGGATAAGTCCGGTGCTCCGGCTGCTGAGCATCGGAGGTTTGGGTGGCCTGGTGTGCCCTGTTCTCCGTCTGGCAGCAGTTGGGAGAAGACTGCAAAGGTCTGGTGCATGTGTCTAACCTTTGTCTCCCATTGGTTTGCATCTTTACTTCTTTATCTTGTGCCAGTGTCGTTGCTCTTATGCTAGTTATTTAGGTTGATTGACCTTACCAAATAGACTTGTTAGATGAGCTCTCACTAGCTCGGCACACTAGTTACTATCTTATTTAGTATCTTTTTAGGGTATGTAGTTAGAGGGGTGTAGTCGTGGCTAGGCTGTTAGTTTATTTCCGCTGTATTTGCTTTGTCTAGCCTTCGCAACTAAATTTTTTTAAAAAACGGCTATTCACCCCCTCTAGTCGGGCATCTTGACACTACAACAAAGATAGGATTGATTATGAGGTGGTTACATAACACTTGTTTTGTTGTTAAAGTCAGTTAGGCTTCTATGTAGTCCTGGTCATCAAGTCGACTAATTCTAATAGACAATGAGAATGTCAACTAGTAAATAAACGTCAAAAGTGATCCATAGTAGATTCAAGTGACTCCAAACTAGGAACCATAAGATATAGCACAATGTTAGAAAAAAATGAATCTAGTTTCATATTTTTTAGAGCTACAAAATTTATGTAAATTTTCTAAGAGTAAACCATATTTTACAATCTTTTATTGCATAACTTTATCAAAAAAGTATTTGGATATGTTTTCTAAAATAATATTTGTACAACATTTTTATAGTCTACACTATGCCAAAACAGCATAAAGGAGACACCTTAGTTAGTGACTTGGATTTCAGACGCGTCACTGATATAACATTAGTGACGTGGGTAAACGAAACGGGTCGCTTGTTAGTTGTTGCCCATGGCCAAGAGAAAAAAACATCACTAATGACCAGTTATCAGAGACTCTTCTCAACTAGACGCGTCACTAGTAACGAGCGCTGTTATCAGTGACTCGTACCAACAAAAACGGGTCACAATCAAATCTCACGGACCCAAAAAAATTATTAATTCCAATATACAGCGGCTCGCGTCCGTTCTGCTCCGCCTCCTCTCCGCCCGACTCTCTCTCTCTCTCTCTCTCTCTCTCTCTCTCTCTCTCTCTCTCTCTCCCTTTCTCCGTCTCTCCACTCCTTGGTCAGATCCAGATCTCGCAACCTAGCGGCGCCACGGCGAGCTCCCTAGTTCCCTTACCTCTCCCTCCAACCGTCCTCCACCTCACCTTCCTCTTGAGCGGCGGTGGACGTGCGGTGCCTCGGCCTTCCTCAACTACCGGTGGCATAGTGGTATGAGGGGAGCCACCCTGTTGAGCTCCCTCTTCGTGTGGCGGTGGCTGGCGGCGGAGTAGATCTATTTGACATTAAACTATCAACATAATCTATTTTATCACTAGTGGCTGCAATAGTGCATTGTAGGATGGTTGACATAACACCACATAGTAAAAAATAATTTAACCGTCCAAGGTAAAAATATTTTAAAATTTGAGGGAGAACTAAAAACCCTATTTTATTGATGGGAGAAAAATGTCTCCCAACATACACCACTACAATAACTATTTTCACAGTCGCCAAAAAGCCTTCACAAAAGGCAGGGTCAATATGCCCGACTCTGTTGATACAAAAAGAAAAAAAAAAAAAAACACCCCCTAGGGCGTCACCACCAGTTCAATAGTCCTGGGCCGCCATCTTGGTTGCCTGGGCCTAGATCTAGGCTGCTAGAGTGCCATCGTTGCTGCACCAGATCAACACCACGCCACTACGCATCGGCCTCCTCCAGCCTGCATCTTCACCCACTGCATGAGGGATAGGGAGGGAGGGAGAGAGAGAGAGAGAGAGAGAGAGAGAGAGAGAGAGAGAGACAACTCACGGAGTTGGATGATGCCGGATTGAAGGCAGAAGTAGCCTACGACGCCATCCCTCAGGGAGCCTAGAGGAGAAGGGCCCGTGCGGGCTTCGCGGTGGCCGTAGGAGGGCGAGCCCTGTGCAAGCTTGGAGGAGGGCCACACGGCCACGACTCGTGTGCTGCTTTGGGCTCGAGAAGATCCAGAGAGAGAGAGAGAGAGAGAGAGAGAGAGGGATTTGTGCGGGCTCAAGAAGATTCAGAGAGAGGGATTTGTGCAGCTGAGGAAGGGAGAGGGAAAATGAGGGGGACACTCTCGCTTATATATTCTTGGGTTTTCTTAGCGGGCTGAGTTGAGCTGGTGGGCTTGCCGCAATTAACAGGGGTGGACCTCTCAAGTGGCCCACTGTAACACCCTAAAAATTTTAATTTTGAAAATGGGTTTAAAATAATTTATTTTGGTATTTTACGTGCTCATGAAATATAGGAAAAAGAATATTTTTCATTAAATTAAAATTCATCATAAGGTTTAGCAACATGTTGTGGCACTCATACTGATACATATTTATTCTTGGTGATGTTTGGTTTTGGTTCAAAGTTCAAATGAATTCAAAACTTATTTGAAATGGATTTGGAAAATCATTTCTGGAAAAGAAAATAGAAAAGAAAATAGGAAAATGGAAAATCGTCCCCCTCTCTCAATCTGGCCCGTAGGCCTGCTCCATCTCTCCTCTCTCTCGGTCCGGCCCACCCCGGCCTCTCTCTCTTAGCTCAGCCCAGCCAGCTCTTCACTCCCTTGCCCTCTCCCGCGTGGGCCGGCAAACCCCATGGCCCAGCTCTCCCTCTCTCTCTCCCCCCGCAAGCCCAACGGCAAAGCCGGCCCATTTCTCCTTCCCTGCTCCGCAGCCCAGCTTGCACAGACGCCGCGCTGCCTTCCTTCTCTCCATGGTTCACTGCCATTCCGACCCCGCCTCCTGAGCCGCTGACGAACTAGGCCCGCTTGTCAGCCGCGTCTCCTACCTCACGCTCATCTCCAACATGGACTTTGCCCGGTGCCGTGTCCATCTCTGCCCCGATTACTCGCCTTGGCGTGCGCCTCAAGCAGATCGGCCTCATAAATAGCGCCCTGAGCCATGTTGCAACCCCTACCCTAACCCCAGAGCAAGCACTGCCTTTGCCCCGGAGCTCGCAAGAGCCGCCACAACCCTAGCTGCCGCCTCCACCATGCTTGCCTCGCTGTTCCGCCGCTCCACCGTCGTCCGGGACCGTTCGCCGAGCTTCGCTAGGAGGTAAGCAAGCAGACGGTACCGTGCTAGCTCTCTCTCTCGCCTTTTGTTACCGTAGTGTTGTCGCCGTTGTTTCGTCGGAGTCCCGATCCGCCCGATCGAGCTCACGCGCCTCTTTGTGCCTTCGCGTGTCTTCCTAATCCGCTAATCGAGTTCGAATCGCTCCGCTCTCCCTCCCCGTGCTAATCCTGTGGCCGATGATGCTCGGAACATCGAAATCGATGTACTTGCCTGATCGCCGCCGATCCTGGCACCGTCGCCTGGAAGCAACTGCCGACGACCCCATCTCCCTCTTTTCTATCTCGGCCGTCCGATCTGTGATTTACGGCCCAGATTAGAAGATACCCCTTCGCCGGCCTTTTTGCTTAAGAGACCCCAGTTTCTAGAATATTCCGCCCGCAGTCCCTGGCCTGAATTCAAAATCTGATTTTCTTTATTTTAAATCAAGATTGAGTTCTGTTTATTTACAGTTTTGCCACTAATCTTGTTTTAGCCATAAAATCTTCGTTTTAACTCCGATTTGGTCCGTTCAAGTTGCGTTAGATTCGTAATTGAGTAATCTACATGTTTATTCCACTATTAAATATATTTTCAACTTTTGAAATTCGAGGTTAGATTTAATCTATTATTTTATTAAAGGAAATCTTGTTTAATTCATAACTTTTTCGTTATAGCTCCGATTAGAGTGCTTTTCGTGTCTGTGTGTTCGTAGTAACGTGTAGAACATCTTTAAAACCTTTTTACCTATTATTTATTATGTTTGGTGTATTGTTCTAATTTATTTCTATTGTTTACTTCATGTATGACTGCATGGATGCTTGTGTGGTGCTTTATGATCTTATCCAGTCGGTGAGCTTTACGTGTTGTTCAAGAAGGAGTCTCTTTGAAGTTTTGGACTTAAAGAAGGATCAGAGTTTAAGACAAGTATAGCATGGGACCATCCTTGTTACCTATTCACCTTTAATCACTTAATTCATATTGCATGTGTCTACCTTGTTGCCAATAAGGATATCCTAGATATTTGATATCTTGTACCTTGACACCATGGGTGATTATGCATTGGGTAGTATTATGCTAGTGCTCAAGATGAATAACCATGATCTTGTAACTTGACTAATGGTATATGCAATAACCATTTAAAAGATGCTTTTTAGCAACATGGAATCAAGAGGGCTAGAGCATTGGCTATTTTATGGTGCTCTAGATTCCTCTCCTAAGGATTTATCTGTAAGCGAACATCTGGGACTTACAGTACAACTGTGAGGGCTACATGGCTCTGGCTTTACCTCAGTATGAGGACATTTTCTAGCTGGTTAGAGGTTACCTTTATTGGCATAAGAATGGCTTGCCGAATCGGGTATAGTGTGGCCTCTGTTCCCTTGTGTATAGGTTGCGCGTCATTGTGCCATCGGGAAGGAGGGCTCTACATATATTTGCCTAGTGAATCTAATGGCCCGGACGAACCTTTGAAAGGCTTCATAGTGAACCCTGCCGGCCTTCCTTGGAAGTGGGTCAAGAGACTATCTACCTCGGGCGAAAGGGTAAATTATGACTCACAGTGAAAGTGTACAACCTCTATAGAGTGTAAAACTGGTATATCAGCCGTGCTCACGGTCATGAGCGGCCTTGGACCCTTATGAAATAGATGATGAACACTGATGATACTGATGATAAAGATGCTCACTAATGATTATTGTTTATGCTATTCATTATTCATGTTTACCTGATCATATGTTTATATGGGCTTGTGAATAAACTTGTTGCCACCCAATTGCTAAAAGATGACTCATTAAAAGCTAATCGTAGTTAAACCAGTATTAGCCTTTTGAGCCTCATGAACCCCATGTTATATTTGTTGAGTACGACATGTACTTACGCTTGCTTTATTTTTCAATTATTTGGATAAAAATTCCGGATGGGTACCAGATTGCTAGAGTTTAGAAAAATTAGACTTGTGATCAACCAGTCAGTTGTCCCTGTAGAGTTGGAGTCTTCACCCGAAGATCGGGGTTGTCTGTCCGCTGTTTGCTGTCTAAAGTTATATTCTTTATACTAAGTACGTTATATATTGAGCATTGTCTATTGATATTACCCTTATTTGTAGCTATATGTGAGATTTGACTTCCTGGACTCACATATGGTGCGTATCTGGTTTTGTTCTTAAAACCGGGTGCTACACCCACCTCCCATTTTCAGAGGTGGATCTCTTAGAGGCCCTCCTCTATTAATTAACTTTAGGAGGCAATCATTTTTTTAAAGTGTCTCCTAGAACGAATAGATCGCCTTTGAAGTTCAGAGTACTGATCCTGGAGACACGTAAATAAAATTGTCAATCTTCCAAAATTAGGACTTTTAGCCCCGGTTAGTGAAGGACTAGAAAGACTTTCTAGGTATGGCGGTTTCCACTTCCTGTTTTAGGTTCTTTTATTTTATAGTTTGAAGTTCTCCTTGAGTTTCTTTTATAGTAGGATGTTCTCCAAAAGTATGAAAGGTTGGAGGACTTTGTACCAACCATTCTAGTGTGGTTGGATTTTGCTCAACGGTCCAAGGACTTTCCGCACATCTTTTGTTCTTTCCACTGCTTGAATTTAGTTGTAGTAGTGATGATGATTATGCCAAAATCATTTTTTCTAGAAAAAACATCAATGTACATTGAGCACACATCGAGTCTAGGCCCATGGGCCCTAGGCTGCGAGCTTTTGCCCATTGGCCCTAGGTTCCAATGCCTTTGGAGTTTGGCCTTTGCTTCGCCCTCTCCTAATCGCTTGAGTCTAATATTCCTATGGTCACTCATGGTCTACAACAATAGGGGCAAAGCGCCCATGCTCAGCTCCGAGGTTGTTCTTGAACCTTACCTAAGACTCAACCTTGTCCAGCCCCGTATAGGGGTGATGGATGCTGGAGAATGAGCAAAGTCACCGCCTCCAGTGGAGTACTGGGAACGGAGCGTGCATATTTGTGGTGGTGCATGCATCATATCAGTTCATCAGTGACGGCGGCCAGGAGGAGCAGCTGGTGTAATCCGCAACCACATTCTGCTCCTATTCCACCACACTTAGAGGCAGAGGTGGCAATGGATTAGCATCCAAATCCATGTAGGTAAATCCAATTAACATCCTCCATGTGGGTAAATCCAATTAACATCCAAGCAAAAAAACTAAGTCCAAACTTATTCGAATATAAAATGATTAATGTCCAATACAATCCAATCCGCTCTTAAATCAAATCCATCTAATATGATTCAATAATGACAAAGCTGTTGTAACTACATGCTATTTTTATATCAATGCTAGACACCATAATTTAAAAGCTCACATTCACACCATAAAATTTTAGCAAACTTAATTAAAACTTATTAGAAATTTGTTAGGACAATTGCCCGCTAGTCTGTGATGTAACTAGATATATATGTGGGACCCATGTAAAAGTTGGATCCTAAATTTAAAGCATCGCGTGTTTAGACCTTAATTTTTTTATAAATTGGCTAAAATTTGTTAGAGATGATTCACTACCATTGCCCACTAGTTTTGCAGATCAGTGTGACAATGTATACAAGTCAGCCCCACCTCGAAAGTTAATTAGACCTTAAAATTAAAAACTTCACGTTCACGTCTTAAAATTTTAGTGAAAACTTATTACACATGACTCAATACGCTCGTTATTTTATGGAAATTAGGTGATTAGATATATACATGCGTCCCATGTAATAAACTTAAAACTAGATATTAAAGGCGGGTATACGTGGGTCCCATGCAAGTCGGCGTGACTAGATATGCTGGCTGTCAATCGTCTTCTAAGAGTCCAAGAAGAAAACAGATGAACTATGGCACTATGCATGCGCAATTGGCAGCGGCACAGTAGTGATTGTCTGGGGCGAAGATGAAGACAGTTCCCAGAAGGTCCACTAGTGATGCCGTTGTTTTATTCTAATTTTATCACAAGGCTACAGAAGTTTCAATACAGACGCTTCCATCCATAACCACACGTTGTTAGTAACAGGAGTTTCACGTGACACGCCATTATTCTCTCTTTGAATGTTCGTTTTTGTCCGGTGCAAATAAATTCTTTATTTCGTTACGACTTACGAGGGACAATAGTGGAGGGTTTGAACTAGCATAGTCATGAGTGTTTTATTGTATCTGAAACAGCTTGATCATGAGTGATGAGAAGCAGAAATGTGTGTTAGCCCTTTGTAGCTACATGCACAATTCATATAGCAAATCGTTTTAACATTCTCTGATAGGAAGCGCCCCTCTATGTTGGATTTTGCCTTTGCAAGCCCTTCATTTTTCACATTTTATTTTAATTCCGCATCATTTCGTTTTTCTTGGTTTTTTTCCCTCTCTGCCCGCAATGCAAATTCTAACAGAAAGGCAACTGTTTTTCTCAGCTGCTTCCTAAATTTGCCTGCCTTGCCACTAGCCCACGACCTTTCAGAACGCCCACAGGTCAACTGCTACGTTTACAATGTTTCGAAATGAAAAAAAAAAAAATCTGCTATATACAGTATATTACGACACACAAGAGTTCATTCCTCAACACTACTCTCATGCCATCTTCCAACCATGTCCATTTCCCTGCACACTGTTCTTGCCCCGTTTGGTGTGAAACCGCCGAGTCTTTGCCTTGGATGGCAGGCACGATTCAGCCTTGGAGCAAGAGGGGCAGCAGCAGCAGTGGCAGATGGTAAAGCAGATGGGCTGGAGAAGACCTTGAAGGAGAAGAGAGATTTAGATGTTCTCTATGATGATGGTTTTGGTAGTGTAACAATGAAGGAGTACTTCACGGCAGCGAGAGCTATGCTGAAGAACGACGATGGTGGTTTTGCCCTGTGGAGTGCGGATGCCCCAAGGTAGAGAGTGCGCCATTACTACTATTTTTGCCCGGTATGTTTTTTCTTCAAAAATGATTTCCATTCTTGAAGTGGGATCGTTGCGGGCGTTCATGCTGAATCTCCCGGCCCTTTTTTCTTAGTCCAAATTATTGAAACAACAATATTCAGGGGGTTTGGACGAACATCGATCCGTGTATCTAAATTTACAATCATCAGATGCACTGAAACATATTACGATCTTGCAACACACCTGGTCAAAGAATAATACACTTGCCATGTTCACGCAAAATGTTCCAGTTGGCGCTCGTGAACTCTTGCTTACCGCGTGTGCGTACCTTGCTCTCAAGCTTCCTAGTGCCATTAATGGCGTCATAGACCAAAAGGCCTCTACCTTTCACTGCGTCTGAGGACTAGCAAGGTAGCAGTGGGCGACCCAGGCACCTATCCTTCTTGATTGTTGCTTGCTCGATCTATTTTGTGCTCTTCTCAACCAATTTGGGCTTGGATTTGTGAGATCGAGAGGAGAGGGAGAGGAAGGAGAAAACGCCATGAGAGAGGACAGAAGAACACGGGAGCAGGAAGATAAAGATAGAAAGTGGATAAGGACGTGTTGTTGCAGAGTGAACTGGTGACTTATCCATGGACTGGGTTCACGAGATAGTGGCAGGAGACAAATAAAATACATGTATACTTTATTAGTTCATAGTAAATCATGGTGTTAAACAACCTTTTATCATTTTTATTTTTTAAAATGCCTGTGTTATCATTCCTACGTTCTAAACACCACTTTCTATATATTTCCTGTGTTTCCAATCCTTTATTTTTCTATTACATCTCTATCCCTTTCCTGTGTTTTTTTCCCATTCCTCTCTTTTCTCTTCCTCCATTCCAAACACGCAACGTTGTCCCTTGTCTTGCCTAAGCATGTCCTATGTATGATTGGTCTCAATTGCAGGAATTGATGGCATTGGAATGGAAGTCATTTTGCACCATCAGTCACTGGGAAAGTGAGCAATTTATCATACTTGGGATACATTTATATTGACCTCATATTATTTTCTGAACTTGTTTAACTTTTTAACAAAACCATTTAATTTGTACTCATGTGTAAGTGTTTTGTTTTACTTTCAGTTGTTTCTGAAGTTAAATTTTTATAATTATTTCACAACTAATATGCTAATGGTATGATATCACGGCCTTTTCTAGGGAAAATAACTATAAGCTAGGAGACTCTAAAAACTTTAGATTTTATCGATTCTGGTGCTGTAACATTGTAGCACGGAGTGCTTCAGAAAAGGCATCTTTTAGCTCATAACTAGAAGGAGTTGTGATAGGGACTGTTGAGTGCTATGATCATTTTTTTTGTTAGTGATGTGCCTTCAATCTTTAATAATTTGTTTCATGTGAGCACATGAGCTTGATTAGGTTGTATTTGCTATCTATGTCCTTTGCATTTTGCTATCTAAGGCCTGGTTTCTCTAGTTAAACGCTAGAATTCTTCCTAATCCTGCTGGAACAGGTTTGTTTCCTATAGGCAAGTTGCCAAATATTCTTAAACTTAATTATGACAAAATTAATACAAGTATTAGCATGGAGCCAATTTAAGTACATGGACATGTTTTTCAATGAGTCGGTATATTTATGTCAGCTAAGCATCTTGTGTACACTTTTATCTTCTTATGTGCTCATTATATAATGTGGTATATATTCAGATATAGAATGGAATGTTGCTTTCTAATTGTTCATTCTAAGGCTAGCAAGCTAGACTAGGAATATAAACACGCAACCTAGGAGAGCAATTAAATGTTGAAGCTTAAATGAGTTAGAGATGCGAACTCCCATTGACGACGGTATTTTGCCCAAGGTATCGAGAAGCTTGTGCTTCCCCTTAGTCCTTGTTGGAATCACTTGCAAGGATGCCCTAGCAAGAGCAAGCCTTCCGGCTGATAGGATCTAGATGGCTTGGGGGTGAATATCCTATAAACATTTCTCTACAAACTCACAAACACTAGACCAAGGTGGTTAGTATCCTAATAGCCACTACTTGATCTAGCACTAATTCGCCCAAGCAAGCCCCTACACAATTCTAGTAGGAAGTGATTTCTACTCTAAAGCACCTCCCCAAACAAGAGCTACTAGCTAGGCAAACTACACTAGAGAGCTAAACAAAAAAGGCAACTACAACTACTCTAGTGAGCTACCTGTACAAGCAACTACCACTCACAAGCAATAGAAATGATTGAAAGCACAAGTTAGATGGTCAATACCAAACATGGCAAGAGATAAACACGATGATTTTTCTCCTGAGGTTCATTGCTTGTCGGCATCTTAATCCCCGTTGTGGCGAGTCTCAATGCGGTGATCCACACACTAAAAAATCTTACTAGCTTGACCTCAACTTGGGTGTCGAAAGGATCAAACTCAAGGAGCACTCCAACTAGCCACAAGCGTTCCACTAGAGTTGCTCTTCGTGATGTCCCGCGGGGACGAGAATAAGAGCCCATTACAATCAACTTGATTGGAGGCGGCAAACAATCACCACAAGCCCCTCAACGATCCTCCAAGGTCCAAGTTGGCTAGGTAATGATAATCATCAAGAGTAACAAGAATCATCAAAGTCGCCACAATCAACTAGTGCCACGGATGCAAATCGATGATGCAAATGCACTAGAGCTCTCTCAATCTGTCCCAAATGTGATCCAAAGTGATGCAAGGGAGTGGAGAGTGTTTCTCAGCTTTCAATGGGTGTGCACAAGTGTGGGGATTGCCAAGAGATGGAGTGTCCTAGGCTGGCCACAAGTTTTAATTATAGCCTCACCAAACAAACCAACTGTTACCCACTTGAAGCTGCCTCTGTGGGCGCACCAAAGAGCTTTGGTGGGCACCGAAGTGCCGCACCGGAGGTCCCCAGTGGCTAGTTTCCAATGGCTCTAAAACTAGCTATTGCCCACTATTAGAGCTCCGGTGAGCATGTCCGGTGCACACAGGACAATACCGGCACGTGTTAGCCCGAAATGGGCAAGTTGACATGCTCTTTGGTAGAAAGGTGCAGTGCAACCTCCTGTGGTTGGACAAAATGGCTCTAGTGAAACCCTTTGAAATCCTCATCCTTGGCTCAGTCTGCATCGGATCCCACTGGTGCCACCACTCTAGTGCACACCGGAGGGCAAGGTGTGCTCCTGATTTTTCGATAAAACTTGTCACCACCAGTGCACACTCAGATGGTGCACTATACAACTCTGGTGAGTGAGAAAATAGTGTACCAGCATGTGATAGAACTGTCCGAAATAGCACACTTATGGAGGCGCTCGTCTTCCACCAGACACTAAGCACCCCAAAAGCAAGCTACCGCGGGCGGTATCCGTCGGGCACACCAAGAAGGAGAACCCGAAAGATCCACATTTTTCCCAAGGATCCAATAATAAGAACGAGTTACAATACAAGTCCATTTCATACATCTGAGTTTCTTAAAAAGTATATTATTACAATACCAAATACCAGAGTGCGGAATGATAACAGCGGAATTTAAAAATAATATCTAGCGGTAGGGACGAGGATTCCGTCTGAGCCCACCAGAAGGATCCTCCACACAAAGGTACTCTCCAAGCATCACCTGCAACAGGGGTAAATAAACCCTGAGTACACAATGTACTCCAAAGACTTATCCGACTAGTGGGAATAATTTCCCGACTCCAAGGAATATGATAAGCTTTATGGCTTGCTGGTTTCTTTTGACAGAAAGCAATACTAATAGTGAGTCCTTAGTCATGTATTATTATCAGCCGTATTAAGTATCATCTAGCCAGTCTATATAAGCACATGTTCTACTTTCAAGCAAAAGTTGAGCAATCAGTTCCATTTCTTCTCCTTTCAACTTTCAGTTCTTACTACGGTGCTAAACACGAGACAAGACGTACCGGATCATCCGGTGATTCGCGAATCAATGTGCCTAGCTAGGTGCCCCGAAAACACACGCCCCGCTTGTACCCTAGGCACAAGCAGGACTAACCCATCACTCTCCTGTCCTGGGTGTCCAGGTCCCCGTTCAAACTTGGACTCCAAGCCCCCACTCCTGAGTCCCGGACTCAGTGTGGTGCAAGGACCTCCATCATCTCTGCCCCCAATCAGTCGGTCCGGAAAGAGCCAGATCCGCGACAAGAGAGCAACAAGTCCTCCCTGCGCCCATACCCAAGTATGCGCTCGGGACAATAAATCTGTGACTTGCCCACGATGCTTTATGCAATGACCGGGCCTTAATCGACACAGACAGAGAAAAAGTGTAACCGAACTATGCCCTGTTGGCCGTAGGACACAACCCTATACACCCACTAATACCCAAACCACATCCCTGTCTGGTCACCATTTACCTTTCCATCATTTTATCATGAGTGATCATATTTTATCACCTATGTGCGAGTAACGGCAGGTTACTTACGCTACCGATATACTGAGCATAGCAGCTACTCGACCTGTACTAGTAGGACTCATGGGTAGATATATTTATGCATGTAGTTTCCATAAAATGCCTGTAACGTAAATGCACATCATATATATATTCAGTGATCATTAAAATATGGGTTATGCTCCGGGGTTTGCCTTGGGCAGGCGCTGGGTCAACAGGGTCAGCACCAACAGGCTCCTAGGCTTGCTCCTGCACGAGGATCTCCTCCTCGTACTCATCGATCACCTCATCGTACTCTGACTCGCCGACGGGCACGAAGTCTACCAGTTCGTGATTTACATGAAATGATGATGCAATGTTTAATAATATGACAACAGCAACTCTTAACCCAAAAGTACATCTATTAAACTACTAAGTCAGGTCTATCCACTAAAGGCTAAGCTACATACCGTCACCACTAACAAGTATGAAACATGACATTCATTATTATTATAGCAACTTCAGATATTCTTACTCCTAATGCTGATTTACGGCATATACGATAAAGCAAGGATAATAACTACTTTATTTAGCAACTCGTTCTAAGGCTACCAAATTTACAGCAAGTACATAATACCCTA